GATACCTGGAATAGTCAAATTCATAACGACTGAAAGTAGAATGGTGATTGTCAGGGACTGAGGGGGAAGAGGAGTTGGGAATTAGTGTTTTGTTTAATGATGGAGTTTCTGTTTGGGAAGACAAAAAAAGCTTTGGAGGTAGATGGTGGTGATGGATGTACAACAATGTAAATGTATGTAATGCCACAAAACTATACTCTTTAAAGTAGTGAAAATGGTCAATTTTCTATTATGTATATTTTACCACACACACACACACACACACACACACACACACACACACACACACACAAGAATGGTTGCTCCAGACAACCTTGATATTTTGCTTCCAGGTGTTGTCTTGATTATGCAGGTTATGATTTAGAGTCTTCTCTCAAAAGAGAATCAAATAAGCAATATGCAACTGTAGAATAATGCCATTATATAAGGAATAGAAAACAAAATAAATACAAATATGCCAGGGCACCTGGGTGGCTCAGTCGATTGGGTGTTTGCCTTCGGCTCAGGTCATGATCCTGGAGTCCTGGGATCGAGCCCCGTGTTGGGCTCCCTGCTTGGTGGGGAGTCTGCTTCTCCCTCTGCCCTTCACCCTGCTCGTGCTCTCTCTCACTCACTCTCTCTCTCAAATAAATAAATAAAATCTTTTAAAAAAAATACAAATATGCCCTTCTAACTATTAGAAACACCTGAATCAAATTTGAAGTAATGTTTAAAAACTCTCTCCTTTATAGATTTTTTTAAGTGTCTCAGATAATAATGTTACTTTTATATTCCATATAGAAATGGCTATTTCTCTGTAGCCACAGTAGAGATCAAGTCTTAGAATTAGAATCAAGGGCAAATCCTGATTGTTGTCTGAGCTGGGAATGTGTCTATTCATCTTTCTTTCTTGGACAGTTGTGCTCCAGAATAAGGTCATCTATTTCTCTTCCCCTGCTCCAGAACCAGTCCATTCATACTCATATTCATATTTATTTTTTTCATTTTATCTACCTGTCAATCTTTCTGAAAGTCTTCCATGTGTCGAGGACTGATAGTCTTCCTGTCTGTGTATGCTCTTCAGAAACATACTCAATTGAGTTTAATATCTAATGTGCCCTCTTAAATCCTTTGGAAAGGTTTCTTCTAGGGTAGAATATTGTTTACACTAGCCTACAGTAAAATTGAACCCAGAAAAATTAAGCGCTAATGGGATGGGATGATGATGTTTAGGATGAATTTTTTTCCCTTGATTTATTTATATTATGTGATGAAAAAGAAACCTTAACCCTATTCAGAATGCTTCTATTTTTAATCCCAAGAATGATACTGAATGACAAAACCCACCTTCTTCTTTTAATACCTCATAAGGATACACTGATTAAAATCAGATGGTTCAAGGACCCATCACCAAGTTTCTTCCTATGGCTGTGGCAGATGACTCTTTGAAAGTCTTGAAGAAAAAAAAAATCATCCTGATTCTGTTCTTGGGGTATGACTTGGGAGACTCAATACATCAGATGTTCTGTTTCCAGAATGGACCCAAAGGTGATTCTTGAGGGAAATGCTGACTCAGCTCTAAGAATCCCTGATCTTGCCTTTCAGTACTGGGGAGATGCCCTATACTACTGAGGTCAAAATCTGTGATCAGCTTCGTAATTTCCATATTAGGGATTAACCTTACCATATAAACCTTTACTTGATTGTTATCTATAACCCGTGGGCCCATATTTAAGCAGCAACTGAGAATAGTAACACTCTAGGCCATCTTTAGAGAACATAGAGCCTCAAAAGTTCAGCTCCTCATCTTCCAATTTCCAGTTTAGATAATTAATATTTATGGAAGATGGACTTGAAAGATATTTGTCTCCCCCTTTTCCAGCCACTCTGAATTCTTTCTTTCTATCAAGTTGAATATCTATCAAAGACCTATACTGCCTCAGTCCATCACAGAATTGCTATGACTGAGTTGGCTTTTTAATATTATGCCTCTAGGTTACAGTTGCTATAAGAAATTGTGATTTTAAGAAATATGGTCAAAGACATTGTCTAATAAAATCTCCTTTATAAAATATCCTTGAGAAACAATTTTCGAATAGCTCTGCTTTGCCCTGGGACCTGGTATGCTATGCATAATAAAAACTATATCTGATTTTCCCCCTTGGCTACTAGGAAGCTCAGAGCTAAATACACACACACACACACACACACACACAGGTATATGTATACATATGGAAACAAACAAGTTTTTAATGTTCTTTAATTCCAGTTCCTTGAATTTTTTTATATTCTTTCTTGTTTATATAAGTGATATGATGTGATCTTTTAAAAATTTCCTAAATTACCTCATAAATAATTCCCTGCCAATGTTCCCTCTTCCTTTTGGGTGTTTCTAATTTGCCTACAAATTGGATTCTGTCTAGCAACCAATGTCGCCAAACTGAGAAAAAGAATTGACAGTTTTTCATACTCTATTTACAGAGTAAGAATTAATCACCAGTGCTGAATACAATTGTGGCAAACATTCCTTCCCTGCAAATTCTCTGTGGCTTGAGAGTACCCAGGCTAACTGGTCCTGGAAATAACTGGAATGCAACAGGATTTTTGTGTTGCAAATAGCTATGCTTCCGGGTGCAGGACTGGGCAGTGGGGACTTCTGCAGGTATAACAGCCTAGAAAAAGGACTGCTAGAAGAAAGAACTAACCTTACTAAGGGCCCACCTGGTGCTAGGGTATGTTAGCTTTCTGCTACTGGCAGATATGCTGGAGGTGGCTCTTACCCACTCACAAGAGCTAACTGTAAAAATTTCAAGAGTTTTGTGAGCCAGCTGGTGTTATGTTGATTAAACTAGACCATGGTAGTACTTACACCACGTAAATTGGCAGATGTCACAAACCAGCCCCTACATCCCCAGAGAGCTGGTTGGTAAACACTTACCTATCCACCACCATTGTCTGGATTATTACTCAAAATTAGCAAGGAGATAGGCATTTCTGTCCTCATTTTATAAATGAGGAAATAGACCCCCCCCAAAAAAAAAACAATCTTTAGGCTTTAGGGAGAAATTACAGAGAGGGAAAAGTTCTGTAAGAGAAACTGCCAAAGCAGGAATAGGTAGAGGCACAGTGCTAACCAAAGGGCTATATGCAGAGGGAAAAGGTCCTCTTCAGAGGAAAGCAGTGAGCTAATGGGAGGAGACCGCCAAGCTGAGGTTCAGAAGGCTGTGAGGAGAACAATTTCAGTGAGGGACTAAGAGACCAAACAAAAAGGCATCCAAGGGGAGCGCAAGTCTCCTTCACCTCTTCCAACTCTCCACTTCTCCCTACCTAGGTTGGAGGAGTCACTTTCAAAGGTAAGAAATTCCACTACTGCCACCCTCCAGTAGAAAGGGTTTGCTCAAGCTTGAAGACAAGAATTGGGCTGTTTCCCAGGAGGTGAAGCTTTCAGAAAAGTTAAAAAGTCAATACACAGCAGCATATTTCTTTTCCTTCAGAGATACTTCCTATCAAGGACTGGAATGAAAAGGGCTCTTGGCTGTTCCCAGCACCCCTAGCCACCTTCCTCCCTTTTGTGGTCCCCTCTTTTATCTTCCAGCAACTAGATTCAGGGCAAGGGTGTTAGCCCAAAAAGTCCAATATGGGCCTTAAGTGCCAACTCAGCTATAGGGCAACCAGGTGAATTTCTAGTTTGTTCTCAATTTAGGTTTGGAGCTAAATAACCAAGTATTACTCTGCCAGGCATTGTCCTGGCATGTTATTTCCCTCAGGAACCTTGAGGGGAAGAGTAACTGTGGTCTGGGCCACGGTAAAGTTTAGCCTGGATCCACGGTACTGCCCATTGTTGTTTTCCCAGAGATGATAGGAATGAAGAGCTTGTATAGTTTATAAGTGGCAAAGCCAGATTTTAAACCAGGTGCAATTACTACAGGGCCTGTGCTCTATCCAGGGAGCTATTTCTGTGACACTGGGCTGAGCCAGGAGACTTGGGAGGAAATCTCCTGCTGGGGTCCCATAGGAGAGTTGAACCTCCCTTCTCACATGCTGATCTGTTCTCTGAAAAAGGGAGAAGGAGTGTGAAGGCAGACAAAAGCCCTTGTTTCTATGCATGATATCTTAAGTAATTAATGAGATAATGTATATACATTATTTAGTCAATAACTGCCTCTTGACTGATGGTAGCTAATTTTGCAATATACTACTATGATTATAATAATGCTTCGTCTCCAGGACCAAAATATGAAATTTGAATTATGAGTAGATCAAGGAGCACCTCTTCTACCTCTGCTCAAATATTTTATCTTATTCTAGAGTAATTAAGAAGAAACTGGCACTGGGATTCAAAGAGTCCCCCAGCTGTTCAAAATGTAATGCAAATGATGCTATCTTCAATATTTCCTTGGGATTTCTTGAATTTCTAACTTCAGTTTATAGAGGAAAGCCTTTAGCAGAGACATCTAACTGCTGCCTCTCCTTCTTCTGACATTAAGAAGCCAACTATGGCAGATCCCAATGGGTGTGCCTACCCAACAGCCAGCTCCTTCTTCTGGCTTACAGATTCCTGATCTCACCCATGTAGAGGAAAGCAATATATGTAGGAAAGATTCCCCAGTTCCAGGGATGAACAGTTATTAGTCTAAACCAAACATAGTAATCCATTCCCCTTTATCACAGGTTGGTTTAGAAGTGTGTATTTCACCAAATTCTGGCCAATGGCATCTTTTTGCTGGCACTACTGAAAAATTGGACAGAGATGTATGCAAGAGAAACTTTTCTTTTTTTGCATGTGGAACAGTAGCTGCCATCTTAGCACCACAAAAAAAGGCCAAGAAGATAATAGAAAAGCTGATCCCAAGTCCTGACATTGTTAAATCAAAGAACTAACCCTGAATTATCTACCTCAAGGTTTATCATCATATGAGAGAAAAATAAATCCTATTATTTAAATCCTTCGTAGGCATCTACTCTACAACTTGCAACCCAAATCATCTTGACCAATATACCTTATTATTTTACAAACTTACCCCAAAATCCCCGTGAACTGGTGGCAAGAAAATCCCATTGAAGGAACAGTGGGAGTAAGGGCAGTAACTGGTGTTGAAGAGTTGAAGAATGCTTTGCTGGCATTGTTGATAGTTTCCAGTGCCCTGGATGTGAAACTGATCGAATGGAAGAGTCATCTCAAATCTCTTGGTGCAGGGGCTACTGTAGAGATCACTTACATTCATTACTGTCTCGTATCCAGGGTGAAAGCATGGGTCCCTGAGGATTCCGTTTGTACCCTGAATGGAAAAATCACTTGAAGACATCATGTGCAAACGTGTTGGGTACAAAAAGCACCACTCTGACTTCCTTAATGTGTAGGAATTTTATAATAGCTTTGGCACCAATATGCCCCTGCCATGCCTTTTTCACCCTTGGGAACAGTCAGATTTGTATAATAGCCACCAGAAATGGTATCAGATGTGAATCAACTTTCACTATTCATAGAAAGCTAATAGAGCTGAAGCTGGCAGAAAGGCCATTGGTTTGGAATGTCCACTAGTGCTTAGTATGAATGAAATACATAGGTCAGAAGCAGATTCACAAGGAACACTCTCAAGGCTCTCACAAGTCTGAGCTGGGGGTAGTTCCCCAGGAGGAGTCTGCCCATACCCCAACCCCACCTCCAAGCAAAAAATCAGAAGCAACATGCCTTGAAAGTGCCTTAGATCACTTAACCCGGGAGTATCAAAATGATTTTTAACCCACAACCTAATATGTTCAAGAGAAGAAAGGGGGCTGCTGTGGATAAAAGGCTTCGTGGAGCCTTGGGGCTCAGTAGGCATCTCTAAGCATCGCCTACGCCAGTGGGGGTCACCTTACTGACAGTGCTTCTGAGAACCAGAGCAGGAACTTCGGAGGAGAGCAGAGAACTGGTTGTCCTTTCAGTGGAGACAGGGAACAGCTGGATGTGACAGCCTTGCTCTGTGTGTGTTTGTCAGGGTGTGCCTGGTACTCACATGATTTTGAGTGTGTTTAACTTCTCTTGTCTTCAGAAGACAAAAAGCATCTGGGGACAAGACATGAAGTGTTGATGGATAAACTCTGCGTTTTCCCTGAGTGTTTTCTCCTCCCCTCCAGGTTGTTTCTAACAACCCTGTTTTCTACGGTTGTAGGAAATGGAGACTAAAAAGTGCTAAAGAGCTTATAAATTACACACCTGTCCCAACAATACTCGAGCATGTAATTTTCACTGTCAAGCCCCCAGGGGTGAGAAATTATTTGCAAGAAAGGATTTGAGTTGTGTCCTTGAAGACAGTGCAGTACACAAACACAGGAGGTTGATGTCTAGATGGGAAAATTCACAGGGGTCGACCAGATGTAGTTAGATATCCTGCTTATAAAGGTTTGGAAAGTACAGTAACCAAGTTCAGACCAGTTACTGAAGTAAAAAGAGACAACAACAGGATGTGGGGGCTGGTGGCCCAGATGTGGGAAGGGTGGGTCTGCATTCAGTTATACTTGCCTGAATGTCCTTGGCCAGTTTCTGCCTGAGTGCTTGATCCTTCCCATAGCACAAGAAGCTGTGTGTGTACACGCTGTAGTCCCTGCCATAAAGGCGGAAGTGCAGAGCATTGCTTGGAGACTCGATCTTCTTGTTTGGGGGCACAAAAGTGATTTGTGTAGAGGCTCCCCCAAGGTCTAAAGCCCCGTACGTTTCAAGAGCACTGTCCTCATTTGGCTTCAGGTTGAGCCAACTCAATTTCTGAAAGAGAGAACAGTCACCAGTGGTAGCGGGCTCTGGATACCCACTTCACACTATATCTTGGACTCGGGGACTTGCTAAGGTGAAGGAAAGGGGGCGTAAGGTGACACAAAGCTCACTGGATGCTCCTGAGTCTGCATCAGATCAACAAGAAACATCAGATCAGCAGGAAAAGAGGGGCTTCAAAGATAGAGCTCAGACTGCAACGACACAGAATTGGCATAGCCAGTGTTTACAAACAAGGAGTCTGGGCTGAAAAGACTCAAGTTCAAATCTCCACTCATTTGCTCAATAGCCATGTGACACTGAGCAATAACTACCTTCTCTAGGCCTCAATTTGAGACTTGAAAATGAGAGAATTCCTCATGTAGTTGTCCTGAAGATGAAATCAGACAGTAATGAAAAGTGCTTAGCACAGCACAAGACACATAGCGCTAGGCAAATATTAGCTATTCTTATTTTTAATGATAGACTTTTAATTTCCTCTATGTCTCCCTAAGGTGAAGATATGATTTCCTTCTTCCCCAATAAGAAAAGTTCTTGTAATAAAGTTCTTGCAAATGTGGGGATAAATTAATTTGTCCATTCATCCAACATTCATTCTGGCTACAGATCCAAATACTGCCTGAGATAGCAATGGCATTGACCCCCAGCGAGCCACCTCCCTGGGGGCTTCGAGATAATCACCTGCGTGAATTTGCCCAGCAGATAGTTGATAGTAATCCAGCCGTAGGCCCCCTCCTCTTGGCCGGTGATGATTCTGGCACCCTGGAAGTCAAAGTGGTAATTGCTGAGGCTCCTCGCCACTGCAGCCAGGACCTTGTCTGCCAACTGTTCATTTTCTATCCTGCACAAAGGAAGATCTGCGTTTACCAGTTTCGTTTGAATAACTACAAGTACTCAGCTTTCGGCAGTTCTCCTAGCAAGTGAATCATAACTCCCTGGAATAAACAGAGACATGGAGATTCCCACACATGGCTATCTGAGGAACCCTGCTTTTGGGTGAGGCAGAACTAGTCTTTTGGCCCTCCTCTCCTCTCCAAGTCCAAATCCTTCCAGTCCCTACAGAGGCTGCTCTTCCTAAAATACCATTTTTGTTGTTACTCCCTGGCTCCAAAATATTATCTAAGTAATGTTCATTTTTGTGGTGGTGGTGGCTGGCTGTTATTTAATCATCACACCTAGAGATGACGCATGCTACACCTAGAGATGACGAATGCTACATTAGCCATCGCTGGTGGCTTCCAGCTGGTTCCAGAGTCAGGCTCTGCTTGAGGTTTTTAATTATGGCTGTAGCAGATAGCAGGCGGCAAATGTCCTGGGACAGATACCCAACTTCTACTGGGGGGCCAGACTGGGAAAAACATCTTCCTCATATTGTACCTCAGTTCTTGGGTCTGAGATGTTGAGACCTAAAGAAGGAATCTTTCAGGGTTGTCCTAGTAAATATGGGATGCAATTACTTCCAACATTGAGAGCCTCTGGGTCAGAGGATGCTGTCTTCCAACCAGCGTTGAACCCTCTCACCACGCATCTGAATAGCTTCACAGCCTACCCCTGGCCTCCCCATCCCCAGTTTTCTTCCCTATCCCCTACCCCCAATCCCCCTCTCTCCCCCAGTGTGACCATTTGTGTACCACCCTGTAAGAGCTTCCCATTGTCTCTCAGATGAACACCAAATTCCCAGCGTGGGCCACAAGGCACTTTGTGAGCTGGACCCTGCCTCTTCCGAATTCCACTCAGAATCCTGGCTCTACCACTTTACCAGGCATGTGACTGACCTTGGGGTGACTTACTCAACATTTGTAAGCCACGGCTTCCTTATCTGGTTAATAAAAGTTAATAACTCTGCATAGAGTTTGATGACTAAATTAAAGCACAGTGCTAACAACATAGTAAGGGCTCAACAAATACAAGCTGCTTCATCATCGTTATTACTTTTTTTTAGTATATGTAGCCTATGTTCTATTTATGCAGAACTATATATGGTCCTCTGAGTATGCCCTGGTCTCTCACTCATCCCGGCCTTCGCGTGTCTGTTAGAACGCAGGCTCCAGGAAGGCGGGGACTCTGTCCTCTTCACTCTGTACCCCAGCACCTGGAACAGCGTCTGCCACACAACAGATGTGGAAGAAACACAGGTAGTGGGAGGCGTGATGTCTCCTCTGCCTCTAACATGCCCTTCCTCCACCCTCCAACTCCTCCTCTGTGATTCAGCTCATGTGTTCTCTCCCCCCATTCTGGCAGGGCCAAGTATGCTCCCATAGCAGCTCTGAGCACTCCTCTGTTAAAGAATTGCTGGCCTGTACTGACACTCTGATCTCCTTGACAGCTGAGTCGCCTACTTTCATGTCCTAGGACTGAGTAGGCAGGCAATACAAGCTGAGTGAATGAATGAACAAAGAAACAAATTATGCACACAGGTACTAAGTGGTGACCAATGAAGACGTGCTAGTTGTGATTATTTGTGTCTTGGGACATTTGTGGGTCTCCTCTGGTCTTTCTCCTCCCGGACACTGGATGGCTAAATTGGTAGCCTCAAATCCCAGAGTACATAGGCTCAACATTTCTCTTTGTGCCCCTTCCCCCGTTGAATTCTCTGTGGGGAGATGGGCAAGAAGACTTTTTTTTTTTTAATATACTTAAACTCCTACTGTTACACATACCAAATGTTTGGGAGTTTTACCCAGTTACTGAGATTTTCTTTCTCAAGTGTGGACCGTTAGGATGTTTAGAATGTGGGGTGTTAGGGAAGCATGGTGCTATCCCATAACTTCAAAGGCTCTCACAGTACCCAACCTAACCCCCAGACACTCTGTGTCTCCACGTGCTGCTATACCTGAGCAAGCGCATGCCTGCTGTAGCTCCCAGGTAAACGGGGGTCTCCTGGTGCTGGGACTTTGGAACCACTTGAGTGGCTCTTATCATGCATGCAGTCAGATAAATGTCTATTTCACTTAATTTTTGAGCATATCTTGAGATTCCAGGACCTAAGGAAAGATGTAGAAGCAGATGACAATTGTTTTTAAAAGTACAGGACACACCTGGACAATATTAGAGCAAAATACTGGTGTTTTCTGAGAAAAATCAAAGAAGACAATTTCTTAATGTGATATAGATTAGGTTGCTATACTTGTAACTCTCTGAACCTGGCCTTGGTAGGATCTATTTTCAGACCTCAGGCTGGGTCTGTCCACTGTTCAATAATTTTGCCGCTGGATGGCGCAATTTTCACATTTAATTGCATAACGTCTAATAGGGTCTCTCACATTTTAAGGGGGATAACTAGAATTTAAATAAAAAATTGAATTTAAAAAATTAAATGGGGATCTTATAGATAGTTACCCTATATATGTGCTTTTTCATGTTTCTTCTACAAAACTGTAACTAACACCACTAATTCCTAGAAGACCTAAAAGGAGAAATAAGAAATTTAGAACAAAAATTAAAATAAGCACCAGGCACACTGAAGAGATAGTAACTGCTGCTAACTAGCTATGTGATCATGGCCAGTCCCCTGAAATTTCTGAAGCGGAGTTTCTTCCTTTGTTAGAATAAACAGGTATAGAATCCGTGTCTCCTTAGCAATCTTTCCACTCTGAAAATACCGTTTTCCCCAGTACAACTGTTTTTCTAGTTCCAGAGCAAAACTGACTGTTGCTAAGAAGAGGATTAGAGCTAAGATTCCTTAAGTTTTTTTGAAGTTATGGTTAACAATCTCAGCTCACTTTAAAATGAACACCTACACTTTAGTGAAGATGTGCATTAAAGATAATTGTCCAGATATGTGATCCATATCTTTCACAGGTTTTTAAAAAGCCGGTTTGTTCAACAGTAATGAAAAGATCAGCTCTAAGTTATCAGGTAACTGTTTGGATTCAAAAATTCTGGCCTTCAAGAACTGGTGGCCTTCCACTCACCTTTCATCTAAATATCTGATTAGAGAACTCTCTTTTGAGAGGGGAAAAGTCCTGCACTTCTTTGGCCAGACATACCTGGGATGAGTCTCAGAAAAAAAGATAGCTGCTAAATTTAAAAAATACCAACATTTTTTTAAAAAGGGAAAACAGTGAATTAAATAGAAGCCAATAAAATGAGGGATTTGGGCTTTAAGAAATGCTCAGTGTACTGTCTCAGAACTGATGGGACCAATGTCTGCAGATATCAGGCTACTGGGTAAAATGACTTGCTCTCTTGGAAACATCTCCTCTCTACTGCTTTCTTGGCAAACTTTGAAAATTGGGGGACCTCACAGGCCATCAAAGTAAAAGTCAATCTTCTGGGAGCTAGGTTACCTGTCTGACTAAAAACAAATAGTGGGATGCTGCCGCAACAGGCCCAGGGCTATAAGCGGGTCAGAGAGAGGGTGGTGCAGTACGGTAACATTTGCAGGTGGCTGTGTTGAGTGGAGGGAGTGGAAAGGGCTGAACTGACATTAACCTGTTCTGTGGCCTTAGAAGAAAACAAACTAGGGGGAAAAAAAATCAATCTGTAATGTGGCGATTCAGAGTAGAAGGAAGCCTGGAGTGCAGTAAAGAGACCTAGACTCTTGCCCTGGGTCTGTTGCTGCTTGTAAGTCACTAGTCTCCCAGGTTTTTTTCCTTCTCTGAAAACAAGATTTAAATGATCCACAAGGTCCTTTTCCCAGCCCTAGGAATCTATGCTTTGGCCTCCCCTGCCCATATGAAAGCTATAGGCTTTTGAAAATTTCTTCTAAGCTGTAGCTTAAAGGACAAAGACTAAGAGCAACAATTCTTTGGACCAACAGCTTCAACATCACCTGGGAACCTGTCAGAAATGCAAATTCTGGGGCCTGTCCCGGACCTACTGCATCAGAAATTCTGGGGGTGGGGCCCAGCATCTGTGTTTTAACAAACCCTCCAGGTGGCTCTGCTGCAGATTCAAATTTGAGAACCACTGGAGAAGTCATGGTTTCAAAGTTGGGCAGATCTCCATTTGAACCCTAGTTCCATCACTTACTAGCTCAAGCAACCTTAACGAGTGGCATCACCTCCCTCTACATCAGTGCCCTCATTTTTGAAAAATGGGAATAGTAAGACATATCTCCCAGGGAGACTGTGAAGATGAAATCATGTATTTTCAGTACTTGGTGCATGGCCCACAGATGTGTGCTGTTGACAGAAGCCACTATGACTCGACGACTTTTACATTTGTTTCTTCTTCAAGGGCTCCCTCATTCAGGACTGATTTCAATATTTGTACAGTGACAATAAAATAACAGCAGCAGCTGCTCCACTATGTTCTTCACTGAACTTCCTTTTTCTCATGTGTTCCCCCGCCTGCCATCCATGTTCTCACATACGTTCCTCTCATGCCCCACTGTCTCCCTCCCCTTTTCCTTCACCTTACCTCTCAGCTTGCACTCTGTTATCTGACGCACCACCCCCGTGTCATTCTCCTTTTCTGCTGGCCACTTATAGATGTACAAACTTGTGTGAGAAGAGCCTGCGTCGAGCACAATCCCGTACTGAGGGTAAAACAACAAATCAAGAACTTATCAGGATTATATTATGTTTCTCCATACTCAGCTTGCAACAGAAAGGAAACAAAGACAAGAGTGTTCAAAAACATGAGGAGATGTATTTTAATTCAAGAGGAACATGTGGAGAGGGAAGGGGTTGCCTGGTGTCACCCTGATCACAAAAACTACCAGGACACCAAATCCCTCTAGAATAGTGGCTCTTAGTGCCGGTGGCACATTAGAAATAGCCAGGCCTTACCCACGGTGGGGCCTGAGCCTCATTACTGATTAGAAGCTTCTCAGGTTATTCTGATGGGCAGCCAGGAATCAGAACCAGATGCTAAAGCAGCTGAGACAACATGGAGGGAATAGAAAGCCATGAATCCAGTAGTTCCCACACTGGAATCGTCAGAATCACCTGGAGAGCCCCCAAAGCTAGAGATACCTGTGTTCTGCCAGATATGGGATTTAATTGGTCTGGTGTGTGGCCTGGGCTTTAGAAGAGAGACATGGAAAATACTAAGCATGCTTGCTTTTTCATTATGAATGTAACTAATCATTGTATTGAATAAATTTTAAAAGATATGTATTTTCATGTTCACGGCTCTTATGACTGAGGGGGGATGAAAGGAAGAAAAAAGGAAAAAAGAAGGTGGGAAGAAAGAGGGGGAAAGACAGTATGAGAAAGAACTCATTGGTCAGAGGGGAAAGGGCAAAGAACCAATTCCTCACAACACATTTCACGAGAACATTAAATGTACCAGGTAGGTGTTGCACAAAGCTTTTCATGAGAATTATCTGACTTAACCCTCAGAGCAGTGCTGTAGGGTAGGTACTCTGTTCATTCCTGCTATATAGGTGAGAAATTAAAGTACAAAGAGGTTAAGTAGTTTACTCAAGATACACAGCTAATAGGTGACAGAGCCTGGATTTGGATCAGTCAGACCCAAGACCTTATGCTCCATATACCAAGGGCAGAACAACCGTTTTTAAAGACTTTTAATGAAGGATAACTACAGCAAAGTGCATCTCAGTGAATTTTTGCATATGTGCACGTCCATATACACCACACCACCAAGATCAAGATCAAGATTCAGAACGTTTTCTACTGCCCCTCTCAGTCAGTTCCTCCTGAGGGTAACCATTGTCTTGATTTCTATCACCACGGCTGAGTTTTGCCTATCTTTGAGCTGCACAAAGGGACTCACACAGTGCGCCTCCTTTATGTCTAGCTTCTTTTGCTCTACCCTATCTCTTAGATGCCTCCAGACTGTGTGCAGCCATAGCTCATCCCTTTTCGTTGCTGTAGAATATTTCCTATTTTATTATATGTACTGTATTTTTATCCATTCTACTGTTGATGGACATTTGAGTTGCTTCCAGTTTGGGACTATTGGGAATACAGTCACCAGGAACATCCTTCCTTGCACATGTCATTCTGTGGATATAAGCTCTCATTTATTTTGGGTATTTACCTAGGAGTAGACTGCCAAATGCCCCTCTTGATCATTTGATGTTCATCTTTGGTTACATCCCTAAGTTTAAACAGGAAAAATGCCATGGTTGAGTAACAGTGTCTGCCATGGGCTTGTGAGGAGAGCATGACGGTACCTGTACTTTATCATCCCTCTACTAGAGAGAAACATGGAGGAAAGTAAACGGGGAAGCAGAAGGAAGAGAAAAAGGAGGCATGTCTAAAATGTGAGCCAACCACTCTTCACCACACTTCACTGCTGTGGACCTCAAAGTGCCATCTGCCTCTTGATAATACTTAACTCAGCAGTTGTTTGATATATATCCTTCCATACTGTCTTACTACCTGGTAAGAACCTAAGAACTTCCAGGGAGAAAAGAAGACAATGAGGATTAAGAGACCTCCCTGGACTACTGGCAATAGCTGAAAGCTGAGTCTGCTGAGGTGGCAAGCTTTATTCTGTTTCTCCAGATTAGGAGAGTATCAGTGTGCAGCAGAGGGCAGATCCTTGGCCTTCCGTAACCTCATGTCCTCGGCCTAGTTAGGCACAGCAGGACTCCCTATGGCAATGAGCATTATGACCTTAAAAAGAAAAAGGCCTGTATACTTGGCAAGAAAGCAAGCTGGACAGACTTCTCTGCAAACAGGCTTGCAGTGGGAGGAAACCAGGAACTGACTTAGGTAGTGACTATCGCAGGCCCATTGAGGAATGCCTGGGGTCCGGGGCCGTTGGAACCATGGGCAGCCTCCTGGGATGGAGAGAGAGGCTCAGGGGTTACACAGCAGAAAATTCTGTTGTTCCCTAGCAGGGTCCGTGAATTCTTCCTGCCAGAAAATGTTCCAACCACAGCGCCCTATGATAAAATCTGAGACAGCAGCAGCAAGCAGCCTTTATCTGGGATCAGGACATTCTAGTCTGTCTTTGTTGACATGAAAGCCACTCTTCCCTCAGAGCAAAGGAATCAGCCTTGCTTCTACCAGCCTGTTTCTCGAAGGCCTTACACAGTGAGGTGGTTGCAAAATGAAAGTTTCACTCCATTTGGTTTGGCAAGTGTTTGAGGGGGAGGCAGTGTATACTGTAACCCAGGAAATGAGGGCACTCCACCTTGTGTATACAGCAGGCTGGAATGCTAACCTGCCCAAATGTGCCATATATTTTTTCTTTTGGAAATGGTTTGCAGCTTGAGGGACAGATAAAAGCTTGATTGTGTAAAAATTCTGTTTGAGCATTTTGGAAGTTTGCCTTCCATTGTTACAAAACTGTCAGCATATTTACTCATTTTCATAGCTGGCCCATCATAGAGCTATAAGTTCATTCCATGTGATCTTCTTATTTGAGAGCTGAGAGATTGTGTCCGGTATAGTTCAAGGATCTAACTAAAAGTACAGATGGTGAAAGCCTTCAAAGACCCATCTAGAGCCCGGGTAGCCACCATCTTTTGTTCCTTTTCACCATACCAGCATTTTCCAATCATGTTCCAGAGAACACTAAGCCTGCAAGGATCTAGGCAAATAAGCCTTCCCAGGAGTTTGGGGGATGCTGAGTGCACTCACTCTCTCTCTCGCTCGCTCTCTCTCCCCTGGGCTCACAAACCCATTAGGTAGTGAATGCTTCAGAGAGTCTGGCAGTGGAGAAACTTGCCTTTGTTTGAGCCAGCATTCCCCAGACTCCATGACAACAGAATTCTGTTTAAAATAAAAATCTCTACCCAACAGAAATGCTTTGACCAATGCTGTGCTTTGCACCATGCTATCACTCCTATCCAGTGTTTCTCTGTAGCTCATATTTAAAACACTTCTAAAAGCCCCTGTGAGTACATTGTTCACATTAAAGAAAAATCAAAAGATGTGTGGTGATGAAGAGATAAGACATTCCCCTAATATTATTTCAATATTACTTTCTATTTTACGACTACTAAAAGTTTACTAAATAGCATCTATAAAATGAAGGGAAAAGATCCTACCAACTAGACATCACTGTTATTTTGATTTATCTCCTTCCAGTCTTTCCTAAATAAATTTTTATATGGCTGCAATCTTACTGTGTATATACATCTTTATCCTAAGCTAGTTTTTGATCATGCACATGATTTTAGCAATCATAACTGATCTTCATAAGCTATGGTTGAGTGAACAGAAGCAGTGTTCCAGGAAAGGGAACAATAAAAATGACCTTGCTTTGTTCATGGAGACACCAATGTAGGGCCTTTGGTGTAGACCTGGAGATGTGGGTGACCACAGACCCTGAGCTCACAGAGACTGGAGGCCATGGGGAGGTGGGCCAAGACTCTCCTTAAGATGGAAGTAATTCTAGGGGTGCCTGGGTGGCTCAGTCATTAAGCATCTGCCTTCGGCTCAGGTCATGATCTCAGGGTCCTGGGATCGAGCCCCATATCAGGCTCCCTGCTCAGCGGGAAGCCTGCTTTTCCCTCTCCCACTCCCCTTGCTTGTGTTCCCTCTCTTGCAGTCTCTCTCTCTCTCTCTGTCAAATAAATAAAATAAAATAAAAATCTAAGATGGAAGTAATTCCACCTGTACAAATGTCATAGGTCCAGGCATCTGAGTAAATCTCCCTAGATGTGGAAAGAAATAGAAAACTTGAGCATCATATGATCTACTTCTATTCCTGGCTCTGCAGAAGTGGGATGTTCAACCCTGTGAGTCTTCTCATTCAGAAAACACCTCCCCTGACACTGGCCAGCTCTCAGTTCCCTATAAGCCGCATAGCTTCTGTTCCAGAGCCTTAAACCAGAATTCCCTTCACCTGAGATCCCAGTCTTCTATGACCTTTTCAGATTTGACTCTACCCTCCTAATCCATGGCTCAGAGTACCTGTATTTTTGCTCCAAAGACAGCACTTACCATGATGCATAACTACATGTCTATGTGGCTATTTGATTAATATTTGTCTTCCCCATAAGGATGTGAGCTACATTATTAGGGCAGGTTTGTTTTGCTTACCATGGTATATCCAGCATCCACCACAGGATATCCTACCACATGTTAGGCATGAAGAAGAAATTCAACAGACAATTGTTGAATCAAATGAATGAATGAGGGGGTTAGAATTGCATGATTCCTGAACTCCTTCCAGTCCAAAAGAACTTAATACTCACAGTCTAATATAAAGTAGTACCATCGGGGTTGCGTTCCACCATCACCACTACCACCACCCAAACAAACCCCCCGAAGCCAGGGTACACAGGCAACAGTAAGAAAATTAACTTCTCTCGGTCACTTCAGACATATTGGTTCTTCAGAATCTTTCTTAAAAGTCCCTGTAGCTTTGGGATGCCTGGGTGGCTCAGTCAGTTAAGTGTCTGCCTTCGGCTCAGGTCATGATCCCAGGGTCCTGGGATCGGGTCCCGCATCGGGCTCCCTGCTCGGCAGGGAGCCTGCTTCTCCCTCTGCCTCTGCCTCTCTCTCTCTGTCTCTCATGAATAAATAAATAAAATCTTAAAAAAAAATTAAAAAGTCCCTGTAGCTTTAACTGTACTTTTAGCAACGTCACCAGTTTGTCTCAGTGAGTCCT